ATGCTATATATTTTATAGGAACATCAATCTTATTTATACCTTACATCAGTTACATGATATCTTGTAGTGACGTACATAACGTGCGTACATTACTCATCTAGATTCATGTATTAGCAATAGAAGAAATAGCCAATCCTACACTTACTCAAACGCGCTACTTAAACTTACGCACTTAACTTTATAATTACGTAAAACTACTCAAATTTCAAGTACATTATCCGCTGTGTAATAACTGCACCTTGTTTATCAAAATATATAAAAGCCTGTAAATAAATTCTAACATATAGAATACTCACGACTGTTGTAAATAACTTCTTTGCTAGTGAATAAAATAATCACAAAATTTAATAGCGTTCTAGTACATTGAAATCACGTTCAGAGCTCATACGCAAGACTTATATAACGCTAAAGTATAACATGCTACAGATAATATCTTCTACATACATAAATTAGAAATCTACTACTACTTTGAATTAGAAATCAGAACATTACCTTTCGCTCTCAGTCATCTTTTAATAAACGATAACATTAACGGCGTGAATAATTCGGATGTCCAATGTGTTGAATATACGAATATTATTCGTGCGCTGATATGTGTTTAAAATTGCGAGCGTACAAGACTGTTGACCAATCGCTATCAAGCGGCGCCCTTAGAAGCCCGCTTGCCTTTTCTCGATATTCCTCGAATAAGAAGCCTCCAAATCTAGATTAACGCATGCGCAAATGTTCAAATTGAGCTCCGAAGGCAAGCGCGCTTGCCTTGGTTAATAAATAATTAATTTAATCCACTTAATTTAATACACTTGACTCATCTTACAAGTGTAGCAAAGTGAAACCGAAAACCACGACAGTAAATCGCGTATAAATAGCAAGCATTTCAACTGTAAAGACAATTTAGACAAAAGATTACATTGACATTGTTTAGAACAGAAAAATTTAAACTGATTTTGCTCAGAGATTGATCCAAAAAATTTTTGTTCGGTAAAATGCTTAGGCAAGCGGCGCTTGCCTACGCTTGCATGACCGCACGCCACTGGTCGTGCACCATTTCGTATGGGTGCAGTGGCATTTAGATAATGGGACAAGTAATTGAGTACACATAACTCAGGCTCTGGTGGAAAAGCCCGAAATTCTAAAGGAGCAACATGCTTACCAGGTTTAGATGTTTTGAGCAGTTGGTGTACATGAAAAACTATCCGATCCTCTTTCTTTTATCTATATCTTCTTTCCGATCTCTATATGAGAAATATCCAATGAATGAAGTGTTTGGCATCGCTGATTTGATAATAAAGCCAAAAGCATTACAGTTTTCACTGTAAATGATTTTAAATTGAGATCTTTCGGAGGGTGGAGGTTTCGAAGATGTTTGAAACAACTGAAACATCTCAGACCGTGGCACATCTATGAAGAGCTGGCCTTGCAACAAATACACCTTTAACAAGTCTATCAACGAGTGGATGTCTACCAAACGAGATGCCACTTGGTAGCATTAAGATAGTAAATAAGGCGCTACTTGTAGTATTAATACCGCTGTAGGATAAGCCTTCCTGGTATAATTTTGTAAGAAAATTAATGCCCTCTTCTACAGAGGACGCGACAGGATCGATATTGTTTGCGTCGCAATATTGTCGCTAACGGTTAAGGTATGTAGAATATTGCTTCTTGGTACCGGTCCGCCAGGATTGCTGGATGATTTGAGAATCTTCTGGTGAAATGCCTCTATCAGAGAGTAGTTCTCCGATAAGTGGCAAAGTAGTAGCTCCAGTTTTGTATGGAGAGTTAGATTTGATTCGAATGCGCTGGAAGAAATAAGGTGATTCTTCCTCTAGGTAAAACAACAGGATGTGCATTAAAGCTGGCCACTAACTTTGTTTTGGCCAGTTAGGGACTAAGATTAGTCCTGTGCTTTTATCTTGTACTATTTTTTGTAAAACGTGCGAAATTATGCTAAAAGGCGGGAACGCATAAAATGTATAATTGAGCCACGATATCGTAAAGGCGTTGAAAGCTATAGCATACGGGTCAGATTGGTATGAAACATTGATTATTCAACCTTGACGCAAACGAATCAATGCTGGAAGTTACATCTAGTTTTTGAATTGCACACGTAAACAGAGTCTTTTTCAACTGCCATTCTGTTTCTCTGCGTGATATTCGAGAATCTCGATCCGCAGTGACATTTTGTAATCCTGAATAGTGCGCCGCTGTCAACCAAATATCATACGAAATGCAGCAGATGTAGACATTGCATGTCAACTTGTGAATAGACCTTGAGTGGCATGTGCTAATTTGATTAATGCAAGCTACAGCGGTAGTATTATTAATTAGTACCTTAACGACTCATAGGCAAACAATACCGCAAGAATTTACAAATAATTTATATGATTTGAAGCCTCCAAGGGCGTCCAGTTACCCCCAGCATATACACCATTGAGGGAGTAGCCCCCACCCTGTCAACGACGCATCTGTTGTTAGGCATATGCTAGGTTAATTGTGGGTAACTTGCCCGTAAGTGATGCATATTGATGACTGCCACCATCGTAAATCATGTATGGCCTCTGAAGACAGGGTCATTGTTTTGTCAAAATTACCCAGATTTAACTTAAGGGCATCGCTTTTATCCATTTCCAGCCAGTGATAATGCAACTGACCGTACATTACGCCCGGGAGACTCGAAGTTTGAGTGCGCAAAACCCGAGAATTATCAATTATTTTTGGGTGAAAAGCTTGTAGCAGGTCATAACACATGAGTTTTATCTTCTCAGCTTGTTTCGTCACAGATATTCGAACAAGAACTGAGTTGAGGCGGAAACCCAAAAAAGTAGTTACTTGTGAGCGAACTAAAACTGACTTATCCGTGTTACGTAAAACCCCACTTCACTAAATAAGAAGATGTTATCTCGAATATTCCAAACACATGAAGCATATGTGTTGGATTTCAGCCCAGTATCATCAATAAATCCAACCGAAATATGTTCTTTTTGACGTAAATGTGAATAAACAGGCTTGAGGAGTTTTGTAAATTTTCAGCTTTACTCTTTGTTTCCTGAAGGAGAGGAAATCCATAATCCAGTGTAGAACCCATTTCGGTATATCAAATGAACGTAGTTTTTCAACCAATAAGTTATGATCAATCAGATCAAAAGCTTTCTTGAAATCCAATAACAGCACACGAGCGGCCGTTGAGCCGTGACTCTCAATAGTCTTTGAGAGTCACGGCTTAGTTCATTTGCAATGACCACGTGCTAACAACGTGTTTAAAAGTTTTTGTCTTTTAAAAGAAACTCGTCTTTAAATGGTTGCAAATATCTTAATATGTTTTAATAATCCTATATTGTTCTATTTATCAATTCTTTTGTAGTATAGTATAAGTCTGTACCTGATAGAAATATCTTTTTTACATATTGTACTTATGATTGCTCTTGCAATATCTATTTTTATATTCTATACGCTGATCGTGAGAATTGCCTTTTGCAGACAACACCAGTGTGAATAAATAAAGTTTTATATATATATAAGATATGTCATGTGCTCATTGATAAACAAGGTAAGGAAGTCACCTGTTTTAGTAAAAAGAACAAAGCTATGCCACTGAGGACTAGTGTAGTGAATAATTGAAGGATGTTGATACTTTCACCTATCTAGTCGTAAAAATTCCTCATTATTCGATAAAACAAATTTAGCGTCATATTACGCCTTTTTAAGCTTATAACTACATTTACACTACTAAACTACAGAGCAGAATTTACCTGCGTTTGCACTGATTTGCTTGAATTCCGCCACAGTTTTGCAAGTGTGTATGCACGTAATGTCTCTCTTGCTGTCAAAATTCATTGGTGTGTGAACGACTTCATTTCTCGTTTACACATTGCTAGATTTTTGTATTTCTAGGTCATAAATCATGAAAAAAACATTGATTAGCATAAATTGCAGAGGAATTTGACAATTTGTCATTAAAAGCTTTCCAAAACATAAAATATTCACTATTTTCAAGTATGCGCCACAATGCGTGACGAATTGAAGAGAACTGGTATCTAACGTGTAGCGAAATATTAACAGCTAGGTGTTCTTACAATGCTGCGTAGCGTTCCGTTTTCGTTCAACCGCGTTTAGAAAGTGTGGTTGTATCGTAACGCTCCAGTGCAGTATGCAGGCGACTGGGTTCTGTTATCTTTTAGCGCCGTTTTTAGGCCGATTCCAAGTTGTGTAAATGTAGTCTTGCTAATAAATGTATGTATGTTGCGAATGAATTAAAAATCATTTCTCTTTTATTGTCAGTAGAACAGGCGGCCAAGAACTTTTTTTTGTTCTGAAAATAAGAAATTTTTGTCTTCAGCAAAATTAAATAAAGGGAAATGCAACTAGCAAGAATAGATAGACGCTTGGCTACTCCACTGTTCGTTGCATTACTAAAGCACCTTTAATTGCGTGACTAAATACACCAATAAATGACGATAATTAAATTATTATGGAAATAATTCTTTAGCTTACATTTTGATTAACTTTTTTCTTTATTTCGTTGTTGGATCAACTTATTTCTCTCCAGCCTTCTAAGCACTGTGTTTAGGCTAAAAATTTCAAAATAGAACATGAAAAATGGGTAAGATTTTCACAACGTTGTGACAATAGTACGTAAAAACGATTGAGAAAGTCTCCTAATACTAAAACATGAAATAGATATGTTATATTGAACTGTATGGAAATTAAAACTAGTTACCATGTAACTAATAAATTGATAAAGTACGTGGATTTGTCATAAAAACTGGCTCTGCATGATGTTGTATTTGTTTCAGAATTTCCAAATATGACAGATGCAGCAATACTAATGAATACAAACTTGTTAGCAAGGACATGCAGACACACCACAATCGGAGAAGTACTAGCCTATGTACATCAAAGTATATCAGTCAGTTGTCAGTTGTTTGGTGAATTCAATGATAAAAAGGTGCTATGATTAGTAGTCAAACCAACTACAACTCCTCGCCCACTTAACGCAGTTATTAATGCTCATATTTTATTATAAAAGAAAACAGTACAAATGCATCCTTCAGACAAACTTTCGATGAAAACTTTTATTGCTAAAATCAAAGATCAATGCCTGACAACGTGCTTTTCTCTTCTTAAGATCAAGCACGTTATCAACAACCACGTTTTGATGTGTCAAAAGTTTTAAACAACGCCAAAAACCTCTAACAGACAAAAAGCAAAGATCTCCGTATGACTAAACCAATTAAATAGTTGAATCAATCTTCTCATCTTTTGAATTACAAGAGGAATAAAAAAAAGAACGGCATGTATGTTGTTTTCATATCAACAAAATTATGTTTCATTACAATAGTAACCATAGTTTCAATCAGGCTTCCCTATCTCATCGTCGCTATCTACTCCCTCTTGTATTCCTAAACGTTTGTAGTCATAAGCACTTGTTGAAGCGTAAATTGCAAATACAGCAAAGAATATAAGAGAGACAACAGATATCCCGAACAAAGTTTTCTTGATGCCATATTCGTTTAAAAAATAGCCAGTCATCAATGAACCGATATCTTTACCAACGCCATTAAAAGTAAGATTTGCCACTCCTAAGAAAAGAAACATTTTTTCTATGAGTTTTTGTGCATAGACAAAAAAAATTATTTTAAGCAGAAAAGAACATTTGTTTTTACGACTTTTGGAATTTTCGGTGTGCAAGACTGATTTCATACATCGTGTTGTTCCTGATAAATTTTACTATTGCTCATTTTGGGTGTTTGAAACGTTGGGGGATTAACAGAAAATTTTTTATATTAGATACATACAATCATATGCAATTTTCATATGCTATTCTGCAAAACGCAAAATATATAGCTAAACACAAATTGTTTGTTCTTCAGTAAAATTATTATAGTATTGTACGCATTAACTTGATTGTCTATATTGTACTCATTATCTAATTTATATATAGCGAATGCCCAAAAACATAGCAACCATCTCACGTTTTATCCTCAGCAAGGGCAAAATTTAAGGAGGGGAATGGAGGGTGAATATTCCCCCCGCCAAAAAAATGTTAACGCTTCAGAGTAATGATTGAGTTTGAAGGGCAAATTACAAAACTAAACACTGTTTCAGTTTTAATTAAGAGCTTTCTCTGGCAACTCTATTCGGCCAGCAGTATCACTCTTTTGTTTTCTTTATTAAAAGTTGAAAGTGAAATGATTGAAGTTTTTATATCATAAGTGGAAGCATCATACTATGATTATATATCAGTAAACACGAAGATAAAGTTTCGATGATTTAAATCGATTGATTGGTCGTCAAGAGCGTGATTTTGCTACGTACTTATTACTTCACTACAATTCAGCTAAAACCGTGAGGTGGCTTAAATAATACACAGCAGCTGTTATAATAAGCCATTTATGCACACTAAAGCACGTCTTGCGAACACAGGAGTAGTCGTGTGAAAATTTGAAAAAGTATATACGGTTTAATCTTGCCTATAATGCGTAAGGTGCCTAAAAATAAACAATGCTTAGCAACTGCCATTATTGACTCATTTGGCTCAAGTTAGGCAAAATATATAGTCTCATGACTAAACACAATTTATAAATCTCGCCCAATATTAAAGCTTCCAGATGATATCAATTTAGGCAAAATTCATCGATGTTAGGCATAATGATATCTACCAATCAAATGGCTAGATTACCCACTGAACAAAATATAGCATTGCATGAACGAACAATCCTTCGTCAAAGCTAAGAAACGATATGTGTGAGTTTATGAGCTTCAGCGCGACGTTTGACTCTACTTGATTGATTTCTATGTTCACACACAAAAATAAATCCATTAACACAGTGAAACAACGAATGCTTCGGCAGTATTTGAAATACTACTGCTAATAAACTTGGGCATGACCAAAGGTAAATTTTCGGCAACTTAGCATGGGAGCGACGCGATGCAGCCTTATATATTAATAGTAATTTATGTTTTGGTCGTTCTCACCAAATCAGAGCACCTCCAAATTAAGGCTGACTGTATCCATTTTAACAAGCTGCGAGCTTTTCTAGCCAATCAGCGCTTAGGAATATATATAAGTTGGTCGTGCTAGCCTGACTACACCACGACCAAAAACAGGTAAATGACGTTCCTTGTGCTTTTAGGCAATGATTGGGGCAGATCTCGGGCAGGAAAGTAATAATAGTGTAGGTAATATGAGATATTTCCAAATGCAAATGAAGCATTAGAAATTGATTTTGTTTTCGCTAATATCTTTTAACATTAGAAACAAATATTAAAATTTTAGTGGTTAAAAAAACGTTAGTTTGATAAATGCAGAACGACCTCTAGCTACGCCACCCCCCTTCCTATCAAAAAGTGCAGCTTTCGCCCCTGCCTCTCAAATTCCTGACGATGAACTTGATTCTTTACTCGAAAAGCCTACCTCAGGCTATACTTGCCCCAACTCATGGCGTTAACTTATTTAAAGATAAAATAAACTAAAGTTAAGTTAGATAAACTCCCCGTGCATTGAGAAAAAGTTATTTTAATTTAGTTTATACAAAGAACAGCTTTAAAGAAGATTATAAAGTTGAGTTGCCAGTAGACTAGGGAGGCCTGCTTTGTTCATAATTCTTTAAAAAAAGTGAAACTGATGATCAACATTTGAAAGCAAAACACTTCTTTTCACTGGAATACTTACTAATAAGTTCATCTTTATACACTAATGACGCCAAAATGAATATGAATAAAATTTGACCAATTAAGGTTAACTCTATTTGATATTAACTGTGAAATGACCAATTAGATTCGCATGTTAATAGTTGGATGAATAGATAATACGAAAAAATTGTAGGTTGTTAAACCAATATAATCACTCTATTACTTATACTGCAACAGATTTTACTGACATCCAGGCGCGTACCATGCTGCGTTTGGCTGCACTATAATTTGTCGCCACTTCTAAGTGGCTTTCGTTTGTTGGCAACAATAATTTTAAAGACTAAAAACAATCTGCTGGGCGAAGCTGAATATATGAAAATTCACCCCCCCCCCTTGACATTTTAGTTTCAACCCTGGGGCAACTGGAGAACTGTGTGTGGTTACATTTGTGTATTATAATAGTCGTCAAACAGCACAAGGAAATTCACGGAAATGCAATTTTACATGTGGCAATATCTAGATTAATATAGAGAAATATATAGATGTTTTGTTATACGCATCAATGGTGATGATCGCGCGTCAAACTATTTTGCGTGAACTTAATTGAATAAATGTTGCGGCGACTAAAACATAACAGCTGATGAAACCTAAGTTTCTAAAAAAAAAATTTATTTTGATTTCTAAGAGGCATTAAAAATTTTTTTCACTAGAATTTTTGAAATGTGTACATTACTTCATAGTTAACGCACGCCCCTGCAGTTGCAAAAACCTATAGAAAATCATTTACGAAAGGCTCAAGAGAAATTTGCTTTACGTCCATTATGTTCTCTTGACAGCCATGTGGAAAATAACTTTGACAAATTTTTATTAGACATGCCTAATTAAGAAATTTTAAGCGCAACCAATCTTTCCTGTTTTGTTAAACTAGGCTTAATGGTATATTCTGACCTTGATAGAATGTGGAAAGTTCTTCTGGTCCGACGTTTGAAAAATTCACCACAAGAGCTGATAGGAAAATTGCAAAAGCAGCAAACTGAAAATTATCAGCGAGAATTACGAGCCAGGGGTTCTCAATAAGTGCAAGGAATGCAAACCCAATTGTCAAAAGCATAAGAGCAATTAACACGGAAACGTATTCTCCGACTGCGTCAAGAATATAACCAGCGACTATGTACCATAAAGTTCCGATTATAGGTCGTCTTATCAATCCTTCGACACCCATTGCTGTTGTGTTTCCTCCACGTTTTTCCATGAACCAATATGTCCAGCGAAATAGAAAGTTGGTGGCAGCCCCCACGTGCAAAGAAATTGGCAAGAGCAAAATGCATTTATGATCTAATAATGGTTTTATTGCTTCCTTATAACTAATGCTTTTGATCTTTTCCTGGTAATTAATTTTCAGCCATGGTACTGCCAATACAGCAAAGCACTGCAAACCAGCTGGAACTATAAATGCAAAATAATAACTTGGCTTTTGTTCTCCACAAACCGAGTGCTTAAAATGACCGGCAAGATATGCAACGGAAAAAACAGCTATTCCAGAGCCAAAAGAACCACATCCTTCATAAAATGCAAATTTAGATTTTTGTTCCATTAAATGATCAATTGCTGCCACAGTAAGTTTTACAACAACTAGTCTTTTTAGAAACTGAAAGATTCCGACGAGAACAAGCATGAACAGAATACCCTTATGACTAATTTCCATTTTCTTATGAGTTTCATTGTTCTCTTGCCACAATGAGACGTTCTTCTTTGAACGCAAATTCTTAAAATTGTCAACTGTAACATGCACTTCTTTTCCATAGAAGGTGTAATTCTTTAAATTGATGCTTATGTTTTCAAATGAGGTCCTGTTAGTAATTTGCAAAGCCAATGAATTGTTTTTAATCATCACTCTTCCTTGCGTCGATGGCTGCTTATATTCAAGATAATTCAGCATTTTATTTTGAACGTTGAGAGTTGTATTTTGGCTTGCATTTGCATCGCATTGTAATCTTGTCATTTGCGGAATTAAATGTAATAATATGGTTGGTATCAAAAGAAGAACAGCCATAAATAACATACACTTTCGCAAACGATATCTGTCTGATAAATAACTACATATGGAAACGCCAATCAACTGTGCCATTAAACCAAGCATGGGAACCAAACCAATGTGAAATGCATTATAGCCTAGTTGCTTTAAATAGATGAACACAAAGTCTTCCACAACGTTAGTACTTGCACGACAAGCAAAGAATGCCACAGATAAAGCGAAACCATTAGCATCAAACACAGACATCTCCAATTTTGTAATATGATCTTTCTTGTTTACATTGAAGACGCGACGAAGATTTTAATTAGTTGCATCTGATTTTACGTCTTTGTTTAAAATGAAGGACGGTAACAATAAAAGCGACGTTTGGGTGCTCAACCATAAATATACAGTGAGTTACTGCTTGTAAGAACTATATTCTCGTTAAACCTTTCCAATTCTTGTTTACTTGTTGAGGATTTTGAATCCGAAGTAAATTTCTTACGTAGTGCAGATAAATCATAACATTATTTAAGCAACAGCGGCGGCAAGCCTCTATGTAATCATAGAACAATGCTCTCGGAATATTTTCTTGTGTAACACAATCACTGAAATGAAACTAAATTAGAAAATTAAACGAGACTTAGCTGATGTCGAAGTTTGATTGAAATTCTATGAGTTACTGTTCAGAAACTAGGAAGTTATGTGAGTAAGAGCACGTGATATCAAGATCCACATACATATTGGGAGGCAAGTAGTATTTAACATCATTTGAAAAGAAGTAAGTTAATATTTGGATGTGTGACTTCCTAGTTCCTGAACAGTAACTCATTTAATTAATTTCTCGTGTAATTTTCTAATTCTATTTCGTCACTGTTCTACGTCACTAGGAAGTCATGTGAGATTTTAAAGCAATATGGACATGAGCAATAACTAATAACAAAATAATATAATTGAAATTTCACAATTCATTTTTCACAAATGGCAGAAAGTAGATCATTGCCAAAGTTCTTCCTCTCGATTGGTTTATTATAAAATGTTTGAAAAGTTTGTTCATTACGCCATGTAGCTGCATTCATAATAGTGTCCATAGAAATATTCAATGCCTTTGCCGCAGAAGTTGATGCTGTTCTAGTACTGTGTGCAATGTAAACCTCAGTATTTATACCATTATTCTTTAACACGTATTTTAACTATCAGGAAATGGTCGCTGAAGTGACCAAATGATAAGATTTTTGATAGCTCAATAGGAGTTGTCTTGCACCATTTTGTATTGGTGCAGTGGCATTTAGATAACGGTACAATTAATTAAGTACACATAACCCATGTTCTGGCGGATAACCCGAAATTTTAAAGCAGCTACATGCTTATTAGGTTTAGATGTTTTGAGCAGTTGGTACACATGAAAAACTATTCGATCTTCTTTCTTCTCCATATGAGAAATATTTAACGCATGAAGTGTTTAACGGATAAAACGCTCCTTGCAGTATTAATATTGCTGTAGGATAAATCTTCCTAGTATAATTTTGTAAGAAAATTAATCCCCTTTCTACAGAGGACGTGACAGGATCGATATTGTTTGCGTTGCAATAATGTCGCCAACGGTTAAGGTATGTAGAATATAGCTTCTTGGTACCGGTCTGCCAAGACTGCTGGATGATTTGAGAAGCCTCTGGTGAAATGCCTCTGTCAGAGAGGAGTTCCCCGATAAAGGGCAAAGTAATAGCTCCAGTTTTGTATGGAGAGGTGGATTTGATCCAGATGCGCTGGAAGAGTTAAGGTCCTTCTTCCTCTAGGTAAAGCAAAAGGATGTGCTATTAGCATTTGCATTAAAGCTGGCCACCAACTTTGTTTTGGCCAGTTAGGGACTAAGAATATTCCTGTGCTTTTATCTTGTACTATTTTTTAAACACCTGAGAAATTATGCTTAAAGGCGAGAACGCATAAAATGTATTATTGACCCATGATATCGTAAAGGCGTTGACAGCTATTGCACAAGGGTCTGGTTGGTATAAAACATAGGGTATCACTTGATTATTCAACATTGACGCAAACAAATCAACGTTCGGAGTTGCGTCTAGTTTTTAAATGGCACACGTAAACAGAGTCTTATTTAACTGCCATTCTGTTTCTCTGCGTGATATTTGAGATTCTCGATCCGCAGTGACATTTTGTAATCCTGGAATGTGCGCTGTTGTCAACGAAATATCATACGAAATGCACCAGGTCCAGACATTGCATGTCAACTTGTGAATAGACCTTGAGTGGCATGTGCCCATTTGATTAATGTAAGCTACAGCGGTAGTGTTATCAATTAATACCTTAACATGCTGAGCTTTTACTTCAGAAGAAAACGACTCAAGGGCTAACAATACCGCAAGAATTTCCAAATAATTTAAATGATTTGAAGCCTCCAAGTGCATCCAGCTACCCCCAGCACATACACCATTAAGGGACCAGCCTCACCCTGTCAACGACGCCTATGTTGTTAGTCATATGCTAGGTTCATTGTGGAAAACTTGCCTGTAAGTCGTGCATATTGATGACTGCCACAATCGTAAATCATGTATGGCCTCTGAAGACAGGGTCATTGTCTTTTAAAAATTACCCCGATTTAACTTAAGGGCATCGCTTTTATCCATTTCCAGCCAGCGATAATGCAACTGACCGTACATTACGCCCGGCAGACTCGAAGTTAGAGTGCACAAAAACCCGAGAAACATCACTTATTTTTGGGTGAGAAGCTTGTAGCAACTCATGACACCTGCGTTTTATCTTCTCGGCTCGCTCTGTCGTCACAGATATTCGCAGAAGAACTGAGTTGAGTCGGATACCCAAAAAAGTAATTACTTGTTAGGAAACTAAAACTGACTTATCCGGAAGTACGTAAAACCCCACTTCACTAAATAAGTATCTCAAATATTCCGAACACATGAAGCATATGTGTTGAATGTCAGCCAAGTATCATCAATTAACCGAAATATGTTCTTTTTGACGTAAATCTAAAAAAAAAGGTTTGACGAGTTTTGTAAATTTTCGTAGACAGATGGCTAGGCCGCTAGGAAAGCAGACAAATTTAAATAGTTGCCCTCTCCACCAAAATTTGAGAAATTTTTGATATGCTGGGTGAGTAGGTACCGAATAATAAGCATCTTTGAGATTTACTTTGTTGCGTAATTTGTTTATTTATAAATCAATATTGCTCATTTCAACTTCGGGTAGCTGTATTTGCTTGGGTAAAGCTCTTTTAATCGGAATTGTGTCAAATTCAATTTTTTGTCCAGACACCGTCTCTAAGATTTCCTTATCGGAGGTGAGTGTTTCCCATCACTAATATGCTTCCAGCCTGATAGGTCTCCAAGCTTTTATTCAAATACGCTATTAGCTTGGGTACAAAAGAACAATAGCAAAACAAAATGATATTTATTCCAAACTGAAATTTTTGTTTAGAAATGTTTTTTAAGACATTATAGCAGAATTGAATATTAATAAAAGAATAAAAAGAATGAAAAAAGACGTCGTGTTTACGGGAAAAAAAGAGAAATTGACTTCATCGAAGATATATTTGTCAAAATGATATTAATCTTGTCGAGACAGATATAGGAATACTTATTGAGCATTACACACTTGTTCTTTAATACCAGATGCAAAAAAAAGCAGGAGAACGCAACTGAATTTTATTCCTTATTTTTGTTAGAAAATCTGAATTTCTGAATAAAACAAGCCTATGAGATGCCTGTGGGACAGTCGACTGATTACACAAAGACATAATTTTTCGCAGCCGCAGTACTGCTCAAACAAAATAGAATAAAAATGACATCGAAACAATTTTACTTAATTTAATTCCTTTAAAACTATAATTGATCAAGGTGAATATGTATCCCTTGGTGTCGTATTTGGCTAACATACATTTAGGTGACCTCCCCATATAACCTGATTTTTTTAGTGCCAATGAAAAACACATTTGGAATTTGCTCAATTTAACACTCTAATGAACTAATCTCTTTAGCATACATTTTTTTTGTTTACAATTGATTAGGTGCTTGTGTCATGTTATACGATCAAACAATTCCACAATTAAAACTGTTTTCAAAGATATATTTTCAAAATGCATGTTGTTTGGCTTGATATAATTTAAACTTTCTATTGTTAAAAAAGACTTTGAAGAAATGAAGAAAAAATACTATTTCCTTTACAATTTTGGCAGATTAATTACGTGTTTTCGTGTGCACTAATTTCAACTTCAAATTTTGAACGTGACGAAAAAGCACTAGCAAAGTTGTTGAATGGTTTAATGCACGAGAAAACTTTTGTTACTCATAAACGATTATAAGTTTATGCTGATGTTTTTTATATTTTTTTGATGGGGGAAGGGGTTACTTCTAAACTTTTGTTCTACAACATATTTTTTTATCTAACATTGGAATGGCTTAGTTCTCATTGCATTTTTGGTTATTGAAATTTCGGGGGTTTTTTGGTAATCAAATTTAAGCCATGGTACTGCAAGTAAGGCAAACAACTGTACACCAGCTGCAATAACAAACACAAAAAAATAACTTGGTTTTCCCTTTCCACCTACTGCGTGCTTAAAAAGACCAGCAACAATGACCAGCAATCTTCGTAAACTGCAAACTTCGATTTTTTTTTAAATCATGAAGTGCTGCAACGGTGAGTATTAAAACCATTTTCCTGTTTACCATCTGAAAGATTCAAACAAGACAACACATCAATAAAAAATCTCTATGAGTTTGAGAACTTTTTGGTGTTTTATTGTTCTCTCGTAACATAGAAAACATCTCTTCGACAGGCAAGTTGATGTGTCTGTTAGATGCAACATACGTTTGTCTCACAAAAGACGTGTGATTTTTAAACCATTTTTGATAATTGCTCTGTAGTTCATTTTCATATTTTGTGAAAAAAGCTTTATTTTTAAGTATTTCTCCTTCACGCTTCAATGATTTATATTTATTCATATTTGCATTACAAAAGCCGGTGACCTTGTTGCTTCTGGAATCAAATATGACAATGTGGTCGGTATTAATAAAAGGACTGTTACGAATAACGTTAGTTTTCGCAAATGATTATTATCGGACAAATAACTACTTACAGTGACGTCAACCAACTGTTTTACTAAACTAAACATATAGGAGCCAAACCAATGTAAAATGCATTATAGCCCATAGTTGCTTTAAATAGGCGAACACAATATCTTCTCCGATGTTAGTACTTAAACGGCAAACAAGAAATGCCACAGATAAAACAAATCCATTTAATGTAATCCAGGACATTTCGTCATATTAA